AAGGCTCTGAGATCCTCCCCCTTGCTCCAGCCCCAGAGGGAAATGTCAACACCGCTATTTCTAGCCCCATAGCAGGAGCCGTGCAAGCCTGAGTCACTTGACTTGGGCTCTGAGACTCCTTGCCTTGTGGGTTTTTTGGCAAGGTCCAAGTGTAATTTTTTCAGGACCAGTACAAACTTGAAACATGGGCCCTCTCCCACACACATGCCACAGTTTGTAGCCTGGGCTGAGCCCCAGTAAAGTGTGCCTCCTTTACACCTGTGGGCCCTAGGAGTGGGGCGGGGATGTTCTTCTGGTTTGGTTTGGGCTAGGGGTTTTTCAGTATAGATGTAAAGCAGCTCAGCTGAAGGAGTTCTGCAAGCTTGGGTTTGAAGAAAAAGGAGGCTGTCCCAACTGCCCTAGAGAGACCAGGTATGGAAGGTTAAATTCATTTAGCAAGAAAACAGGTGTGTCCGAAGTTTGAGGTTCAAGGCAGGACAACTTAGAATGGATTTGATATATGTTGTGCGATATGTCTGAGAAACCAGGACCATAGAGACATGAAAGGAGCCTGCTGAAATAAGGCATTGCTACAGATAAAGTGGAATTATCACCCGTGGGGAAGAAGCCACATGAGTGAGTGTTATGCAACAATGTGGAATAAAGCAAGATATTTATAAGGAAATGAAGCTGGAGCATTTCAGTGACCCAGCAGAAACTGAGGTCACCTAGAAAAAGAAATGTTGCAGCCTGGGGGAGACCCATCAGAAGATGAAGGGAAAGCAAAGGAAAAATGGTTGGAAAGCATCACAGGCTGTGTCAGAGCTAATGGAGCAGTGAAAGGGTACAACATGATCAGAGAGCTCACAGTGAAACGTGGTACCACGGCACTTGATGATATTGATGGTGACTTTTATGGATAAAATGCTCCCCAAATGACTGTGCAGTAAATAAGAAACTAGGAAAAAAAGTGAAAGGATTTGCACTAAGGCAAAGAGAGAGGAAGGCATTATAAATCCAAAAGAGAGGAACTGGAGGCAATCACTGTTTCTTGCTGAATAAGTTGCGCTCTGGGGAGCCAGTTATGAATAAAACACAGGATGCAGCAATGTATTTTGTGAACATCTCTCACGCTTGAGCTTCGTGCCTGAGCTTACGAGGATTTATAATTGGAAACATGTCTGAGCATCAGGAGGAAAACGAAGAGAGTAATGGAGACGGAAAAGAAAACTCAGATTTATTTGAGTCACTTGCAGAGAATGAAATAAATATTTATAAATCACATAGATTAGGGATGCAAGAGACACATTAGGTCTAGTGTGATGGTTCTCAACCTTTCTCAGCTCAGGTCCCATTTGTAAAGGTTTATGGCCTGTTGCGACTCAGTAAACAGCCTGGACTTTGGGGTAGTTTTGGTCAAAGCATACACCCTCGGTGGGAGGAGGGTGCTGGACCCTGCCCAGCACTCACCCTGTAGTGG